TGTATGTCGGAGACATTCGAGGGGAGTTGAGATCCATTAACAACATTGTTTGGATCAAATGGTCAGATCTTCGCGTGACAAATTATCCAGCAATGCAAAAAGAGAATATTGAATTACTTTACTTCGTGTGATCCCCACCATGACATTTATACATTTTGTTACTGGCAAATCTTCTGGCATTCTATCTGACATATTTTCTGGCATTCGATCTGGCATTCTATCTGGCATATCTTCTGGCATTCTTCCTGGCATATCTTCTGGCAGATGTTCTGGCATATCTTCTGGCAGATGTTCTGGCATATCTTCTGGCATATCTTCTGGCATATGTTCTGGCATATCTTCTGACATTCCATCTGGCATTCTATCTGGCATATCTTCTGGCATATTATCTGGCAAATCTTCTGGCATTCCATCTGGCACTCTATCTAGCATATCTTCTGGCATATTATCTGGCAAATCTGCTGGCATTCTATCTGGCAAACATTCTAGCACTTTATCTGGCATATCTTCTGGCATTCTAGCTGACATTCTATCTGGCATTCTATCTGGCATACCTTCTGGCATTCTATCTGGCATATCTTCTAACATTCTATCTGGCATATCTTCTGGCACTCTATGTGGCATATCTTTTGGCGTGGATACTCGCGGTTGAGGTCCGGCAGGGAACACTGGGCGTGGATGGTCGTGGTTGAGGTCCGGCAGGGAACACTGGGCGGGGATACTCGCGGTTGAGGTCCGGCAGGGAACACTGGGCGTGGATGGTCGTGGTTGAGGTCCGGCAGGGAACACTGGGCGGGGATGGTCGTGGTTGAGGTCCGGCAGGGAACACTGGGCGGGGATACCCGCGGTTGAGGTCCGGCAGGGAACACTGGCGGTGATGGTCGTGGTTGAGGTCCGGCAGGGAACACTGGGCGTGGATGGTCGTGGTTGAGGTCCGACAGAGACCACTGTGCGTCGAGGGTCGCGGTTGAGCAGGAGGAGGAGGGGAGGAGAGGAGGAGAGGAGGAGACGAGGAGAGGAGAGGAGGAGAAGGCAACTGACATAAAATCTAACAACCCTCACCTGGCAGGTGGGGAATAAGCGCGAGTGACTTCGTGGGGATTGAAGTTGTCGGGTTTGGAACGTTTTGTAAAATGATTTTAGCGTTTATATATATATATATACACATGTTTGTGCGTTTGCGTTTTATCTTTTGGTTATATCTCTTGTATGTGATATAACTAGTTATGTAATGAATGTCCACCTTGAACACACTCCTCACTCCACACTTTAAACTCCACACTCCACACTTTACACTCCACACTATACACTTTACACTCTACCCTTTACACTCGACACTCTACACTCCACACTTTACATTTTACACTCCACACTCTACACTTTACACTTCGCACTTTACACTCCTCACTCCACAGTTTGCACTCCACACTCCACACTCCACACTTTACACTCCACACTTTTACACGCTACACTTTACACTCTACACTCTACACTCCACACTTTACTCTTTACACTCCACGCTTTCCACTTTACACTCCTCACTCCACACTTTACACTCCACACTTTACACTCCACACCCCACACTCTACACCCCACACTTTGCCCACTGACACTTTACCCACTGACACTTTACCCACTGACACTTTACACTCCACACTTTGCACTCCACACTTTGCACTCCACACTTTGCACTCCACACTTTGCACTCCACACTTTGCACTCCACACTTTGCACTCCACTCTCCACACTCCTCACTCCATACACTCCACACAGTCCACACAGTCCACACACTACACTCCACACTCCACACTCCACACACTCCACACTCCACACTCCACACTTTACACTCCACACTTTACACTCCACACTCCTTACTTTACGCTCCGCACTCCACACTCCACACTCTACACTTTTTACTGCACACTACATACTCTACACTTTACACTCCACACTCTACACTTTACACTCTACACTTTTCACTCTACACTCCACACTCCACACTCTACACTTTACACACTACACTTTCCACTCCACACTGCGGACTGGTAACAGGGGAAATGTGTACAAGACTGTTCAAATAAACTATTGCACTGGGTGACTGCATATCCATATGTTTCGACACCTGTACCATTAACATACGTGCGAGCATTCGGGTTCGTGGGCTGCATTTTGTCTAAATAAATATATAGAGATATTATATATATGTACAGGTTGGTCTTGCTTTTCTGGTTATGTGTTATATCTACTTGTATGAGATACAACTAACTGTAATGAATGTCACCTTGAACACTGCGGAGTTAGCCAAGAAGACTGAGAATGTTGGTGACTGTTGCATGATGTCCATATGTGAGTGGGGACATGCAAGGTTGGAATTTGAGGAGCACATCGAATATTTTGACTCTCAAGAACACATGGATAATGTTGGCGAGTTTCAGATGTTGACTGATAGTCTCTCTTGTGACCACAACATTTTCATGGTTGCACCATCTGACAATGACGCACACAAGCCACTTCTTGTTCATTTCAAGATGGGATGGAAGAAGAAACATGCCTATGTACTTCCAACAAAGAAGATTCAACCGAAGGAAAGGAGGAAAAATATTCGGAAGCAGAACAAGCGCAAGGGTTTTGGTGATGGTCCTTTATTGGACTCGTCATGGGACAACTGGGATGGCAGGCTAACGTGGGCACAGGACTCCAACACTGGTTTTGGTGGCTCCCCACCTTCGTCGGCAAGGCAATGGAGACCGAAGAACGGATGAGCGTATACTTCTGAAAGGAGAAGATCACACAAAATGATTTTTCTCTGTACAGTTTGTCTCAGAGTTGATTTTTTTTTGCACAATAAGGTATATACTCTTGCAACGAGGAGATAATACCATTCCGGTGTACAGAACTTCGTCTTTTTCCATGCTGATATATACTCTTTAACGGAGAGGTAATACCACATTTGTCTCCACATATTTTCCACTGAGCAAATAAATTTTGCTGAGAACAAACTTTTTACCAACTCCGAATTTTGTCCATTGTCCACTTGAATGAGTGACTTTGGAAACCCGAATTTTCATCCGTGTATTTCGTGAATTGGTCACTTGCTTTTCGTCTGACCCGAATTTCTGAATCTTGCATCCGAATAGACACTTTTCACCGATAGAGCATTTTGCCGTGATCCACCGTGCATTGCGCACCATGGTGTGGAAAATAATTCGCAAGGAAATGTTTTTCACTTCGACATGTCTTTAGGACATTTGTCACAGATGATTTCGTTCGCACTTCGTCATTTTGTACAGATTCCACTGCGCACTTTCCGCTAGTTTTGCTGATTAGCCAACGTGTAACCTAGTTTACTGGCTAGAACTCTGAATCGCAATTGGGCACGACAAGGCGTAGTGCTCAACTCATTGCCTTTGAATTTGTGCCTGTGTTTTTGTTTTTGACTGAACCTTACCAGGGCATAGCATGAGTACTGAGCACAGTTTATATACACTGTCAAGGCTCAAGAGGGATATATAGAGGTATAGTTTGTACCGTAGGCGCTGCACTGACTGGCTTTTGGCCGACAGAAGAAAACCAGTGCTTGCAGCCTGGGAAGACGCTCTAGCTGATCCTATCACGACGCTATTGCCCTTCTTCAGCCCTCCCCCCAATCCCCCCTCCCGTTTCTTTTCTATTTAAACTCAAACTTGCACACTCTTCAACACAGTAGTTTAATGTATACACTATACACATATGGTTGTTTATATACACAGCTTTCATCCCAAAATAAACTGTAAATAATCATGTGCATGCATATGCGCGCACATAATTATAGTTATTTGTATGTACATGTTGTATCTCTAAATAACCCCTAATCCAACCCTGAACACACCCTAAACAGACCCTAAACCAGACCTAAAGAAACCTTAAACCAACCCTAAAAAGACCCTAAACAAATCTAGGATAAACCAGAAACCAACCCTAAATAAACCGTAAACCAAACTCTGCAAATATATTGGATACGCTTGTAAATACACTGATCTACATATGCATATAGTCATGATTAGTCATGCATGTATACATCTATATATACATCTACAATTTATAGTTTGCACATCGTGTATTTCCAAAAATCAATGAAAATTTCGGAAAAACAATGAAAACAATGTAAACGTCAATGAAAACTTTGGAACAATCAATGAACACCCGTAAAAAAATGAATGAACACCATACAAAAGTGCAAGCAAAACATAAAAACATTGGAGAATATGATTGAAAATGGAAGAAAACCATGGAACAATCGACGAAAACCATAGAGCAATTGAAGAAAACCATGGAAAAATTGAAGAATCCTCGGGAAAAATTGAAGAAAACCATGGAAAAATCCATGAAAATAATGGAAAAATCGATGAAAACTATGGAGAACTCGATAAACACCATGGAAAAAATCATGAAACCAGTGAAAAAAATGATGAACAGTGCGAAGGAGAGATTTTAGCTACAAAATGCAGCACATGAGAGATTTAGCTGCAAAAACCAAGGAGGGAACCTGGACGACCAAAACACAAAAACAAAAAAACATTGAAAAAATGCCAACTCAGTTCCGCGCCCAAGTAAAGAAAACCAACCAATGGCTGTGGTTTTGTTCGTGACATGTGGCCCAGTTGAAAGTGATAGCAACACGCTGTTAGATTTTATGTGGTTTTTAAAATGATTTTTCAAACAATTTGCATTTTTGTCAATGTGTTGTGGAGTGATACTTTTCATTGCTTAGATGTGTTGCCAGCTTGCAAACGATGAAATTTACGAACACTTTCATTCGCTGGATCTGCGACTGTTCCCAGTTTCACGAGTTTGGAGAACAACATCAGTATCAATCAACACACAACAAACCATTCAAATGTATTCGTTTTCAAACCCAATGCTATCATAGATTGAAATGCGATAAACAACAGTGATTTTGCTAAGTCCACAAATATGTTGAAAATTGACAACATTTTGAGCAACCACTTGTCATTGGCGGGGTCGCTTCGTCGCTTCGCTTCGCAGAACCTCCTTGCGGTCCCGGATGTCGCTCTTGGGCCATGCCTTGGCCAAAGCCGAGTGCTGGTAGTGGTGCTCAATTGGTGAAGGAACTTCGGAATCGTCAGGTCGGGAAACAAAATCGATAGTAACGATAACATGATATCAATGATAGATGTCAAATCAGGTCAAATCAGGTGAAATCATGTCAAACCATGTCAAATTATGTCAAAACATGTCAAACATGTTAAATGTAATGTTGAGATCCGCCGTACATATGTTTTCAAGGGATGGATTTGTCTACCGTTCTTGTACAATTTTCAATTGCGTCATGTTCCTTGTACTTTGCGTCCCAGCACCCTTTCATGTCGAACAACTGTAATTTTGATTGCATGTTTTCTGTGCTGGCCAAACAGGCTCCTACAGTCGGTCCCAGGAAAGCAAAATTCCGGTTCCAGTTTTGTTGCACATTTTATTTTTTGGACTTCATGGTTACAAATTGATTGCTTCGAGTCTGGTATTGCATTGCTAATTGCCATGTCCCCTTTTGTTGCGAAACTTTGTGTCATTCTTGTCGTAGTCTAACTCGCATATCCTGAAAACATTTGAAACCCTTTTCCTGAATTCCCTGGGGTCTCTCCCCTCATATTGCAGCTTCTGCTTTTGTACATTCCTGTCAGGTTAATCTCTCGAGACCTGAAGTTGAAGGATTGCTTACAGCACTCAGCCGAGCTCAGCAAGGTAATCTTACCTGCAATTACCAATGTGTTGTAAAAAAATTGAGGGGATTCCTAACTGATTCTTATGTATTCAGCTGACCAAAGTCTAAGTAGTCTTCATCCTCCAATCCACTGCACCAGGCTTGGCGAATTTGGAGAGCCATGAAGCGCAAGAAGTGGGCAGTGCCTTCGAAGACATCGAGCATTTGTTGCAGCAAGCAAGTGCTCGGAGTAGGTCCAAACCAATGAACGAGTTGGTGGATCTGAGCGATTTGTCAAACCTCCGAGAGCAAGCGTTGGAAGCGTTCCGCAGCCAAGAAAAAATGTCCTTGAACGAGGCCTTAGAACAGGGAGCTGTGACTTGTCGACGCAGGGCCTGCAAACGGCGCCATGACAACACGATCTCCGGAGTGTTGGGTTTGGGCTTTTGTAGTTCACAATGCGCTTCAAGAGAAAATGAGAAGCAGCAGAAATTGCTGGACAAGTACACAGATGAAGATGGTATGCTTCATGCAGAGGGTCTGTGCGAACTGGATCTTGCCTGGGTCACGCAGTATGGCATGGGTATGGTGGGTGGCATGCCTAGATTGCGGCTGCTAGTCTTTAACGAAGACATTGCATTTCGTCTTGCTTGTGAACATTGTGCCCGTCAAGTTGAAGAAGCAGCAGGGCCTGCTTTAGAGGGGGTGAGAAGTTTTTTCCGAAGTGAGCAAGAGAGGCAGGGCCTGATCTCCTGGACCAAACTTTGAGAATGAGCGTATAATAGCATATATATATACAATATGTGTATATATGTATGTATACGTATATATATATACATACATATCAGGTATATTACACATATGTAATTAACATATATATATATATGTATGTAATGTATGTATGTATGTCTGTCTGTCTGTATGTATGTATGTATGTATGTATGTATGTATATGTGTGTATGTGTATGTGTATGTATCTGTATATGTATAGGTATGGTTATGTGTATATGTTTATGTATATGATATGTATATGTATATGTATAATGTATAATGTATAATGTATAATGTATAATGTATAATGTATAATGTATAATGTACCATGTATAATGTATAATGTATAATGTATAATTTATACATATATGTATATATGTATGTATGTAATGTAATGTAATGTAATGTAATGTAATGTATTAATGTAATGTATGTATTAATGTAATGTAATGTAATGTAATGCAATGCAATGTAATGTAATGCAATGTAATGCAATGCAATGTAATGTAATGTAATGCAATGTAATGTAATGCAATGTAATGCAATGTAATGTAATGTAATGCAATGTAATGTAATGTAATGTAATGTATGTAATGTATGTAATGTATGTAATGTATGTAATGTATGTAATGTATGTAATGTATGTAATGTATGTAATGTATGTAATGGATGTATGCATGTATGCATGTATGCATGTATGCATGTATGCATGTATGCATGTATGCATGTATGTAATGGTATGCAATGGTATGCAATGGTATGTAATGTTATGTAATGGTATGTAATGGTATGTAATGGTATGTAATGGTATGTAATGGTATGTAATGGTATGTAATGGTATGTAATGGTATGTAATGGTATGTAATGGTATGTAATGGTATGTTATGGTATGTTATGGTATGTTATGGTATGTTATGGTATGTTATGGTATGTTATGGTATGTTATGGTATGTTATGGTATGTTATGGTATGTTATGGTATGTTATGGTATGTTATGGTATGTTATGGTATGTTATGGTATGTAATGGTATGTAATGGTATGTAATGGTATGTAATGGTATGTAATGGTATGTAATGGTATGTAATGGTATGTAATGGTATGTAATGGTATGTAATGGTATGTAATGGTATGTAATGGTATGTAATGGTATGTATTGGTATGTAATGGTATGTAATGGTATGTAATGGTATGTAATGGTATGTAATGGTATGTAATGGTATGTAATGGTATGTAATGGTATGTAATGGTATGTAATGGTATGTAATGGTATGTAATGGTATGTTATGGTATGTTATGGTATGTTATGGTATGTTATGGTATGTTATGGTATGTTATGGTATGTTATGGTATGTTATGGTATGTTATGGTATGTTATGGTATGTTATGGTATGTTATGGTATGTAATGGTATGTTATGGTATGTTATGGTATGTAATGGTATGTTATGGTATGTTATGGTATGTTATGGTATGTAATGGTATGTAATGGTATGTAATGGTATGTAATGGTATGTAATGGTATGTAATGGTATGTAATGGTATGTAATGGTAATGTTTAGGTATGTTATGGTATGTTATGGTATGTTATGGTATGTTATGGGTATGTTATGGTATGTTATGGTATGTTTATGGTATGTTAATGGTAGTTATGGTTATGTTTATGGTATGTTTATGGTATGTTATGGTATGTTATGGTATGTTATGTTGTTATGGTATGTTATCGCATGATTATGGCATGTTATGGCAATGTTATGGAATGTTTATGGTATGTAATGGTATGTTATGGTATGTTATGGTATGTTATGGTATGTTATGGTATGTTATGGTATGTTATGGTATGTTATGGTATGTTATGGTATGTTATGGTATGTTATGGTATGTTATGGTATGTTATGGTATGTTATGGTATGTTATGGTATGTTATGGTATGTTCTGGTATGTTCTGGTATGTTCTGGTATGTTCTGGTATGTTCTGGTATGTTCTGGTATGTTCTGGTATGTTCTGGTATGTTCTGGTATGTTCTGGTATGTTCTGGTATGTTCTGGTATGTTCTGGTATGTTCTGGTATGTTCTGGTATGTTATGGTATGTTATGGTATGTTATGGTATGTTATGGTATGTTATGGTATGTTATGGTATGTTATGGTATGTTATGGTATGTTATGGTATGTTATGGTATGTTATGGTATGTTCTGGTATGTTCTGGTATGTTATGGTATGTTATGGTATGTTATGGTATGTTATGGTATGTTATGGTATGTTATGGTATGTTATGGTATGTTATGGTATGTTATGGTATGTTATGGTATGTTATGGTATGTTATGGTATGTTATGGTATGTTATGGTATGTTATGGTATGTTATGGCATGTTATGGCATGTTATGGTATGTTATGGCATGTTATGGTATGTTATGGCATGTTATGGCATGTTATGGCATGTTATGGTATGTAATGGTATGTAATGGTATGTTATGGTATGTAATGGTATGTAATGGTATGTAATGGTATGTAATGGTATGTAATGGTATGTAATGGTATGTAATGGTATGTAATGGTATGTAATGGTATGTAATGGCAGGTAATGGTATGTAATGGTATGTAATGGTATGTAATGGTATGTAATGGTATGTAATGGTATGTAATGGTATGTAATGGTATGTAATGGTATGTAATGGTATGTAATGTTATGTAATGTATGTAATGCATGTTATGCATGTTATGCATGTTATGCATGTTATGCATGTTATGCATGTTATGCATGTTATGCATGTTATGCATGTTATGCATGTTATGCATGTTATGCATGTTATGCATGTTATGCATGTTATGTATGTTATGTATGTTATGTATGTTATGTATGTTATGTATGTATGTATGAATGAGTGAATGAATGAATGAATGTAATGTAATGTAATGTAATGTAATGTAATGTAATGTAATGTAATGTAATGTAATGTATGAATGAATGAATGAATGTAATGTATGAATGTAATGTATGTATGTAATGTAATGTAATGTAATGTAATGTAATGTAATGTAATGTATGGTAATGTAATGTAATGTATATTATATGTATGTATATGAAATGTATATATATATATATTCATATTATGTATATGTATATGTATATGTATATTTATATGCATATGTATATGTATATGTAATGTAATATAATATAATATAATACAATATCATATCATATAATATAATACAATATAATATGATATAATATCATATAATATAATATGATGTAATATGATATAATATAATATAATATAATACAATGCAATACATAATATAATATAATATGATATAATATAATATAGTACAATATAATATAATATAATACAATGCAATACATAATATAATATATAATATAATATATAATATAATATATAATAGAATATATAATATAATATATAATCTAATATGCGAATAGAGTGTAAGCTACGGACCAATGTACAATATCACATAATTAATCACTCTAAGATCCACAGCCAAAGGGTATGACAATCGCCCTTTTGGCTCAAGACCCACTGCAGTAACAGAGCAAAGAGTTGCCATGCGGAAGCTGCTGCCCGCGTAACGTCGTCACTGGAATATTCACTTCAAGAACAACTATTAGAACATAATCGGACAAACAATCCCCGATTCGCAGGTTATCAGCCGTAGGACTCCTACGGAGCCTACGAGCGGGGAGCCGCGGGTCTTACAGATGACTGAACAGGATAGCAGCGATAATGCATTTTCTTTCTCTGGACATGCCGTTGCACCAGCTGCCGGCACGCAGTCAAATTCTTCACAGAGTATCGACACTGGTGGAAGCGATGCCTCAGAACTGAGAACAAGCCTACCCAGGCGACCTCTGGTTGCTCCTAGAGGGAGACAAATTTCGACAATGCAAGCAATTGAAGATAGGGACAGCACACCTGGAAAGAGAAGATCATCTGCACGACAATTGTCGCCTCCGATGACTCCAAGGACCAAGGCAAAGACTACGTCGTCGAATCCGCCTTCACCGATTCAGGACGCTACACCATCAGGGACGGGATCTTATCAGCAAGTGAACGCCCCATCAAGTGGTAGCGACATCTTCACTGCCTATCAGAGCGAATTAGCTGAATACAAAACATCATTGGAAAAGGCTACTGAAGAAGAATCCGTACTTCAGGCAAGATTAACTGAGACGACAGCTTATGCCTATCAACAATTTAATTTCCTGGAAAGCACCACTCATCAAGAGATGATGTCGATGACCGAACAACTCCAGATGCTGAACTTCGAATTACAGGCTGCACAACAAGAAGATGAAGGTGCGACCTACAGGATCGAAGAGTTGGAAAGGTATCAGACTATGTCGAATGAAGCTGCATCTCATTTGGAATTCAAATATTCACGACTACGTTCGGAATTCGATGAACAAATGGGACAAGCGAGCGCAATTATGGTACATGTGGGCGCTGATGCGAATGCTCACATTAATCAACTCAGACTGGAACTGGAGAACGCAGAGATGAATGCCAAGCAAGAAGCTCTAGCAGTCGGCTATGCTAATGACCAAACATGTGCTTTGCAGATCGAGATGCTCGAGGTTGCCAATCAGAACCAGACGATGAAGCACACCATGGCCATGAATGTCAGGCGACTGGAAACTGAGTTAGATGCTGCTGACATGAAGAGGGACGAGATCATGAAGGAGTTCCGTAGTAACATAAGATATGAACATGACCGTTATGCAGAATGTGAACATCACTTAGCTTTGGAAGAATCTCAGCTTCGATTACAGGTGATCCACAGTGAGAACTTACAATCTCGACTAGCGATTTCTGAGAACAGGGTTTCTGAAGAATCTCTAGCTGAATCAGGTGGCATGCGGGACATGAGGATCATGGGACTACGTTCTGAACTACACATGAAACAAAGTCTTTTAGATCGAATGCAACAGCAACTGACTGAATCGAAGAATCAGTATCATGAACTTTCCTGTCAACAAGCCA